AAGCAGTGGTATCAACGCAGAGTACTTCCTTGACAGAAAACACGATTTTCATAAGCAGTGTGTTCGAAAACCTCTATGAGCGGCGTTCCTTCAAAATTGAAAATCATCAGCATTTTGACCAAAACCCACCAACCAGCTTCAGAGCGTCAGACAAGAAAAAATGAAATCACCCGAACATCTCGGAAAACTTGTTCATAAGGGTTATTCAACCTGGTGATTACAAAACTCACATCTGCTTAGCAAGATAGGCTCGTATTCTAGGGTTGCGACGAGTAGAATTTGGTACAACAAGACTTTTTTCACGATTTACCAGCCTTTCTACCTCCATTGGAAAGATGCCTGTGACTACTTTTTAGCGCTACGTAATCTACAGAAAAAGTACTATCGAAAGGTCCTTGCTGGAGTCTACTAGGGGCAATGCGCGCTGCTTTACACCTTCGCGAAAAGACGTTTACAGAAAGATTTGAGAATATTGAAATCGGAATATCAAGGATATGCTGTATATCGAAAGACTTGCCTTGATGGACTTTCTTCGGATTCAGAATATGTTCATTCCGAAGGAAGTTACGGCGAGTAGAATTTAGAAACGCGTGATTTTTCCAAAATTTACCAACGCTTCTATCTCTTTTGGAAGACAGCCTGCAGCTACTCTTGAACGCACGATAATCTACAAGGACAGTACTATCGAACAGTGCTTACTGGAATCTTTTATGTTACACAGACGCTGCGTTACATCCTGAAAGGACCACAGAAAAAATTCGAAAAAACTAGAAATGGAATTCGACAGCATTCTGTAAATCAAAATATTTGCCTCGACGATCTGAACACAATGCTGCTTCTGGATTCGGAATATATTCATTCCGAAGAAGTTGTGGCGTTGCGTACTCTGCGTGATTCGCATGGTTTCGCGGATCCTGAAATGTCGCGAACTTCCCGGATTATCGCGCACTCTGGCGGAAATCCCGGAATTTCGCGAAGTTCACGGAAATTTGGACATTCTATGGGCGGTAATGTGATCTTGAGCAGATCTTAGAACAAATTCGATCAGAGTGGCTCTCTACCATACCCCTGTAGTATACTGTCTATGTGTCATCAGCGACAGATCAATGGTAATACTGTTATCAGCACACTGAATTCAACCAAAATAATAATCGCTAATTCTGAAAACTAATATTGCATTCGGAATCCCCATGCTCACTTACCCTCACCCTGTGCCAACTCCCAGCCCCGTACTGCAAAAAAATCGATAAAAATCGACAAAATCGATATCGATCGATGACGAAAAGTAGCCTATGAAACCCGCCGGGGCCCGAAGTTTATGTGTGCCAAGTTTGGTCCGGATCGGTTCAGAAATAATATTTTCTATTCGGAACATGCGTACAGACAAACAGACAAACAGAAGTTCAGCTTCATATATAAGATGATGCGTCTCGCCGAGCTGAATCGAACAATGTCCTCGGATTCAGAATTCGTCCATTCTGAAGCGAGATATGGCTAAATTGACGATCATTCCGACGGACTTTAGTTGAGTGTGGCGCACTCTGCCGCACTCCGGCGCGCTCTGCCGCACTCTAGCGGACTGTGTCGCACTCCGGCGCACTCTGCCGCACTCTAGCGGACTGTGTCGCACTCCGGCGCACTGTGGCGGAGTGTGGCGGAGTGCGCCGCAGTCCGGCGACTTTTTGACGAATTGTGAGCAATATTGTATGTAAAGCAGAAAATCTGTGCGTCTATGTATCCGTGCACATCTCCCATGACCATGAAATATGAGCGGTGAAGCTCATTCCTGGTTATCAAGATATGATAAGGACGGTAGAGCGAACCCAAGAAAGTCGGAATCAAAGGAAGGGTAAGTTTCGCTACATGAGAGGTCAAGCACGATGGAGGCTCCGGAAGGGGTGGTATTCGGGATGCCAGCTCGATTATCTATATATCGATTATCTATATCTATACAATGCAGACAGTGCCAAGTACAGTCTGTGTCAATGCGTATTGGTTCTTCTATCGGCATAGATCGTCCATCAGCTTCGCAAATTTTCGTGCCACGTTTAGAGGGTGAACTGATATAATATGACACGTTTGAAAACGTGGCGCAAGACTCGGCGAAGCTGACAAGCAAATTAACACATACAGTAAAAAATCAAAAACATGTTCAGGGCTGGGCATACATCATGCGATTTCATCGGCTCGCGATTCTCTCAACACGACAAGTGCTGCAAGTTCATTGCATGCGCAGTATTTTGCATTTTGGTTGTAATGGTTCTCCGACACGATTAATCGCGACTAACTGTCACAATGGAAATTCATGATGGTCAGCATGCAGTCAGCTCGTAACAATTGTCTTGTTATGGGAAATGCGAAGCGATGAAATCGCAATGTATGCTCGGCCCTTCTCACTTTATCCTAACGCAGTCTTTAATTTCGTAGGATGCAGACACAGATAAGCAGCATGATTTGTAGAACCTATCCTGACCATCTGTTTATAATTACTACTGGATGTCTGGGTTTGTACATCAAAATCGCATACTTCCACTCCAGTTTCTTCTGATTATGCATCTTTTTGAAATGGTTGACATGCATGAATTTTGTTAATGCCAAAGTCTTTGGATTGGGTACAACTGGTAAGAACTGTTCTCGAAAAACTTTATAAAAAAAAAGTCTATGGTCTTACCATGCATTATTCCGAGAAATCTAGAAATTTGGCTACCCCCAATTTCGCTGCATCATGTCGGTGTCTTTTCATGACGTTGAAGATGTCTCTGTTTTTTTGCGGCATCGAGTGATCCGAAGAATGAAGATATTTTACTTGGATCTTCAAGAAACAAAATTATTCAAGGATTTTTATTTGATTTTGATGTATTGCCGACACCGATTGAGACTGCCATTTACTTATTTCTTGAGCTTTGTTAAAGTCACGCTGAAGGATGCATCGATACAGTGATAGTTCACTAATAACGCGTGCAACTGTCGCTTTTTGCATCAATTTTGATCAATTCAAATTTTGTTGTTTCAAAGCTACCAAATCACAGTCAACAACTATTGTAATCTGTTTCTGCGTCTATGGTAAGAAGATTCAACATTCAAGTTGAGCGACCGCGGAAAAGCTTTCGGAGTAAGCAGTTATTTGCAATTCGTCTATGGCAGTCAACACATACCCGAGAAGTTTGAGAATTATATTTATTAATAAATCAAAAAACAATCAATAACAAGCACAAAAGAGAGCGAGAATCAACAGGCAAACAATGCAAATTCTGATGGTATCATTGTCATAATTGCGCTTACTATTTCTCATGAGTTGAAAAACTGTTCGAAGACGTGTCGGTGAATGCAATGAATGAACGAAAAGCTTCACCTCCTTTGGTTTATTGCACTCCAGCGAAAATTTCTGCAAAACCCAAGTTACTAGACTTCTTAAACTTTTGCAGCACACAGTGTAACATTATGTAAAAACAAATTAATGTTTTTGAATGCTTTGATGTTTGCAAATGAATGAGTTAAATTTGATTCATCAACTTGATTTAATATTTTTTTTCACAAATGACAGAGGGGCTTAATCCTACAATCTCCAGCAGTACGACAAGATTGCGACCGCCACTAGATTGAGTCGGACAAACTGAACTTTCACACCCCAGATTAAAGGTGTTCCTGGCAAGGATACATGCAAAACCGGTCTCGAATACGGCAGGATCATTTGAGAAGCTCAAAAGGATGTTGTCAAGTGACTGCGATTCGTTCAACATGCCTCAAGGCAGAAGGTCGTCGTGGCAGCGGACGCGATGAACTAACTAAGTGTGCGAAATTGTGCACACATTCTGATGACCAACGCATGCATCGCGTCTGTTTCAAAAACGAGATACTTGTAGATCAGGAAGGAAGCTTTGGGATTGTTTGAGTCTAAAAGTTTGGATGCGCAAAAGTCAAAGATTCTTTTTTCTGGAAATCTAGATTCTTTAGATTTTGGCTTAAAAGTTGATTGTACTACCGAAGTTAATGCAAGATTTTACATACTACTTGTATAACTTGCATTGATTTCACTACCAATTTCTAAATCTGATTAAACTAACTCTAAAAAAGACAAAGCGTAAGTGCTTGTGTAATAACCCGATATTTGTATTCGATTATAATGACAAGAGCTCTCAGTTATTGAAAAGTTGAGTATCTTCACCACTAAGTAACAAAAAGATGATTTCCGGCCATCAAAACAAACGTCATGGAATTAAAAAACTGGTTTGAAACTTGTGTTTGTCTGCTAAGCAATTATCCGAAACAGCTACGAATGTTCAAAAGTGCGAACTTTCCAAAATTCTGTAATGCATGTCCTACGGAAGAAACTTCCGAAACACATAACTGTTCTACCTAATGTGCTCTTTCTCTTTGTCTGTTATGAGAAACTCATAATCAGTGTAAATGCATGCTTTCAAGCTGCGATTTTAGTTTCTACGAGGTGATCAAAGCTGGTGCAAGCTTTCATACAATCTTATAGAACTTGTCACTCTAAGTAGTGATATCTCTAACCTAAGTAGCGTATGACTTATTGCGTAAAATAGACAAGGTCTAACAATACTTGTGCATGTATCACCATAATATCGTCGTCTCCCCGGTGTACGTTGGGCGGAGCTTTGCAGACATCTGAACATGTTGGTGAACTTGTCAACCCTCTACTGCAAGATATTGTTTTTTGTGATCTCTCGCTACCAACTCTGCCACGTATGACAACCTCATATATACGTGGCAGTTTAGAGAGTAGAAAGAACCATGCTTAGCAGTAGAGGTTTAACAAATCGCCAACGTGTTCAAATGTCCGCAAATGCTCCGCGCAACGTACACCGGGGAGACGACGATATTTATAACAATCAAAATGCTTAGTGTACTCATCGCATCTCTTAGGAAGTTTTACCTTTCCAATGTTAATTTGATGCATAAGTTCAACAATTTTATTGCGGTCCCACTCACAATCGATGCAAACCATGGCAAAAGTGTTTAATGAAGGAACCAAGTTTAGTACTCAAACTCTTTCTGTGCTTACAGTATGGAAATAGGAGAAGTTATAACACAATAAGATTTGTAGCAAAAGTTCATTCTATCGTGGATAGGATACTTGGTGGACGTGGCCTTTCGATCGGTGACATGTGTCATGATATTCGCTTTGAAACGCTGATCTCAAAACCGTATTCTTATCTGCAGAACGATATATAGGAAAAACTGTATTTCCCTCATCTGACGTGTTGCGCAAGAGAACGGGTAATTTCGGCAAGTCTTATAGGTCTTGAATGGTCTGGCGGTTAGCGCTGTCGATTATTGCACAATGTATGCCCGTTTGATCTCCGTCGGTGCAAATTTGCGTTAGCGCTTTTACAAGAGCTAATTCTTCTCGAAAGCGCGTTTTGCAGCTAACCAAGATAATTTGAAGATCAGTTTCTCAAGGCAAGCATTTTAATGCATAACATGTTCCAAAAGGCCACGGCCATCATCCTTCTCTTGTAGGCATGGTATATCATTTTTTACAGCCTTGCTCAGTAGAGGAGAATTATTGGCTATAGTGTTCAAGGGTAAGATTTTGTACAACATCTCGATTAAATTTACGTTCAATTGCTTGTGTATTAAAAGCAAACTCCAATTGGCGGATGGTTGGCAAGGTACACGTTGAGTTTCCAAAAACAGTAAACCATGGTCCACTATCATCTGCATACTTTTGATTTCGCGAAAAATCTAGTGACTTAAGCAGTATGTGGGTTAGCTACAAAAAGGAGGTTGTGAATAATGTCAAAAGATTTAGATGTGAGAGACACTCAATGTCAGTGTGCGTAGCTCCTCTTACACATTTTTGTAATTATCAGTCAAAGCTATACTTAAAGTATTAGTTATTACAGTAGCTTGTCGTTTCATTTTTTATTAGATTGTCAAGAAAATAATGTCGGTTTTTATTTGCTTGCGGTGTACCGCAACCCCGACATGAGTTCGTTTTTAGACTTCTTGAAAACAAAGTCCCCTCGACTTTGGCGAAATTTTACGAAGCCCCCTTCGACTCTCAGCCATGAATGTAAAAAACCCTCAAAAACGAAATGTCGACTTAAAACGTCGCAATTTTTGGCCACAAAAACAATATTCCCTTTGCTCCCCTCTCCCAAAAATCAAGTCCAGCATGCTTCCATACGATTTGGGTCGGGGCCTGACCGCAATCGTGCGAACCACAAGGACGCGCGATGGGTACTGTTCGATTGAGCAAGGCAAGTTCTACAAATGGTTTTGGTGCTTCCGCGCTAGGGTTGTTCCACCTGAAGTTAAACATCAGCATACAAAAAGTTTCAGATGTACAAAAAAAGTCGAAAAGAATCGGATGTCCGTCCGGAAATTTTCTGCGGACCTCCCACTACAGGTGAATACACATGAGTAATGTTAGACCGTGTCTTTCTTATGCTATAATTCTGCCATACGCTGTTTTTATCTCAAAGATATTAAAGGATAAAGTAGCAAGCTTTATAGGGTTATGTGAAAGTTCGCACCATCTTTGATCACCTCATAGAAAGTAATATCTAAAATTTTGGATGCTCAAAAAAGTCGAAATTCCTTTTTTCAGTCTTTTCGACATTTCAATTCTTCAGATTTTGACTCCAAAGTGAGATGGACCGAAGCTAGTATGAACTTACTATCTTGTAGAGCTTGCATTGCTTTCAAGAATAATACCTGAAACCCGATCAAAAATTAGAAGTTTGTCACTGCGGTAAAAAGACAGCATTAGAATGTTTCTGTAAACTCGGTGTTTATATCCGACTGTAATGATAAAATCGAAGAGAATTCTCAGTTATTGAATAGTTGACTTTCTTGTGTACTGAATTTTGGCAATCCAAGGCTTCACTTCCAGCAAATGAATGAACTTGAAGTTGAGATCATTCCAAACAAGCTGTATATCATAGCACTCGCATTGAAAAACTGATCTCAACTTGTGTCTATTATCTGCCTGCTGTAACTGGGATACCCATAATCAGTGTTAATGCAGGCCTTCAGGCTGCTCTCTAACGAATTTTATTTATTAGGAATTGGAAAACTTTTCATAATGAACCTTACGGCTCCGTCCACAAAGTTTTAGTAGATAAAAAGTACATTGAGATCAACATTTGAAGGCGACTGAGATGGAGTACGCCTTGCTTTTGCTGGCCGGGCTTTCTGACCATTTCTTGTAAAAATTTATTAGCAGTGTGTTTAAGCAAATTAAGTGAAAACTCACCTGGAAATCAAAAGTCACGCTAGCTTCCCAATGAACTCTTTGAATCTTTGCCTTTTCGGCAATAATACCAGTGTAGAATACGTCCTGAGTCAAAATTTAACAATTATCATGTTCAAAACGTCTTCCTATCGCTCTTACATCCACCGTTACTGGCGTAAATAAGGGAGCATAGTCAAGAATGAGCTGAATAGCTTCTTTACCCATTATATACATGGGACCACTGCAATAAGGCGGGAAGTATTCGTTTGGCCACGCATTTTCGGGAACGTAACTGAAAAATAAATGCAAAGAGCAAATGAAGTTGCACAAAAAACTGCTATTGCTCAAAAAAGCATAGTTTGCTGCTTACAAGGAACATATGGTACGTAGCCTTTTTTGATTTTACAAATATGCAACAGTCAGCGCGGTTTCAAATGATGACACTGAATTTGTTCTTGTCCGTGACATTATTGACTATAAGTTCCAGAAAGGCTAACAATAGCTCATTGGAGCACAATGACATGCTCCTCTTTTTAATGTTATTTCATAGAAGATGTAAGCTATCTACAAACTCCTTTTGGTTTTTTTTTGTCGCTCGTGCGGGGTCCGCGTTTTTGGCGTCAGAATCGATTTTTGATGAGACGGTGCCCAGCAGCCCGTCTGTCACATGCCCTTCTTCGAGGGAGCCGAATATGGCTGGTATCAGAGGATTTTTGAGTGGTAGCGAACCAATGACTTCGCAGAAACGAACTTGGAACATGGAGCGCCACGCCGCTAGGCAATCCACGCCCCTAACTCTTCGCTTCTAACTAGTCAGGGTGGTTCAATATATGCCAAATTATATACACTTTTTAAGGAGAGTTCAGCAGATGATTCCAAAATAAGCTTATGCAGGTGTGTCATTACCAGGGCTTGGCATGAGGCGGCTTTTTCATTTTTTCAAAAACGAAGTTCTAGACTTTGTCACAAAATAAGACGTCGCCTAGCGAAACAGATCAAAACAAAAACAGACCATGAATGGATCAAACACGAATAAGAAAAAATAATGGAACAGCATAGAAAAAACATTGAACATAAAAAAAACTTGAAGAAGTTTGTATTCTCCGAATTGGCGGTTGATAGATCCCGTAAAGCTGTACATTAGCACAAACAAGCAATTACTCAGACCTCGCACATGTCAAAGTCAATCCGCAGCAACCACGATATGGAACCTCAAAGCAGGGCAATTGCTCTTTTTTTCATCACCAGAGGAGTATGCCGCCATACTCAAAATCAGAATCTCGCAGTGACCCCTCATTAGTCTTGCCGGGAACTATCCAAATTGAGAACAAAGGGCTCTCTCTCAAAAAAAAGCTTTTTCTTACAGTTTTTATACCTTCTAACATGGATTCTCACTCGCGGATATCGGAAACTGAGCTTCCCCTGACATTGTCTTTGAGGAGAAAAGTGCCCCCTAATTTAATGAAACTGACGCAAGGGGAATTGTAAAATTCGAAAGTGAGAAAGGAAAAATTGTTTCTGAGAAGACCGTCGTCGTCGTGCCGGACCCTTTGGCCAAATTGAAATCCTTTTTTATCGACTCATGATTGATGATCGCCATGATTTGACACACAATGAGGAAAGTTTTTCATAGATCTTTTCGGCAAGGATGAGATGAGGTGCTGAAGTAAAGTTGACCAATGCGAGGATACCGTGCGCAGCTCGGCGAAACGCATCAAGTATGTAGAAGTGCCACAACCTGTCGATGTATGTAGGTATACGGTAGGCGTAAGTTTTCGCTTAGTTTTGGCTTGGTTAGATTAGTTAGTGTGTTGATTACAACATCGCCATTGATTTGCTGCTGATGGCACATCGTAGGATACTGCTGGAGTGGAGTATAGTAAACAGTCACTTTGAACATTAATCGATTTGTTCTAAGTCCAGCTTAGGGTATTTCTAATGCGCTCATTGCGGTAATTGCTTTCATTTGATGCTCAAGGCACAGTGCGCAGGGATCTGCGATGTAAGGTCATTTTGATTGCGTTCGAACTTGCTTATTGTTGCTTTCACGTGTTGCTCGTTCTAAACAGAAAGCTCGAATGTCGCAGTGGCCATCTGAAACGAAATGATGTCATCAAATGCGCCTTGGTGAGCTGATTGTTAATCTACTTTCTTATTGCTGAAGGCTCTCTAATGGAAGTTATAGGCGTCTCCAAACTTCGCAAACAATCAGGGTCACACCAAAAATTAGCGGTACAACGACCCTTCATTATGTGTCGAATAAAATTTTTGCTCTTTGTAGTGAGTACACACAACATCATGCCCATTATGGGCTTTCGAATTGGTCTTTCAAGTAATATGCAGACGTAGCTCAATGACTCTACACTTTCAACCGCTCATAACTTCTTTCAAAGACTCGTTCAGCAACTAGGGAATGTAGATATCGTTCAACTGTTTTAAGCCGTAACAGGTTTTTAAAGGAACACTTTATTTACTGCCCGACGTTTCGGCTGAATGCCGTCTTCAGGGGCCTGAAAGTGAGTCAATCACTCTTTAATCAAACGAGTGATTGACTTAACGAGCTTAAAACAGTTGAACAATATCTACAAAGCATGCCAAGGTTTTACAAAAAGGAGACATACAATGTAGATATCCTTATGAAACGCTTTGGATATGCATTTTACCAAGATCGACAGTTGCGATCTTAAGGTCATTTCCTGTTTTATTGTAGTTCTATAATAGTAATATTCATTATGATGTCACCAGTGCGTCAACTCTGCTTCGCAGACTCGCACTGGCTCTTCTATCTATATGCCATACTCATTCCCGCATAATATTGCATTGAAACTTACCGCGCAATGCCCGCTTTCACGAATGAATCGTAAACAACTACTCCTTCCGAAGGTTTTTTCGTGTGAGATCGGTATTTTGCTTGGATGAACTTCGGAAGATAAAGAACAAATACAGAATTAGAACATTTTTGAATTATTTTATGGCTCAGTAGTCGCCATAAGGATAATATCAACGGTGAGCTACACCCCTTACAAAAATCTTCCAGAAGCTTAGATAAAAAGCTGGCAAATTGACCATTTACGCAAACAATTCGTTTTGGCGCCGTTTTCGTGAGGTAATTGACTTCCATCACTATTTTTGGGCTAAAGATCATAGCTCACACATTCATTTGCCAAACATAATCACGACTTCGCAGTAAGTGGTAATACGGACCCAATATTGCGCGCCAGACGTTAATTGGATCCGTTTGGGGTGCGATTTCTGAGGGACCTACTCAACGGATCTGCTCGTGCTTTGGCATGGTGAATCTGGATGGCGGCAGTGCGTGCTGTGTAAAAAGTTGCGGCTTGAAACCTTGTCTGCGACTCTTTCTGCGAATTTCGCTACAGACAGGCACACACACCACAAAAACACTTAAACACCCTTAGCCCGTTATCATAAGTCATGATGCTGTAGAGAACAATTGAGGTTGTTACTTCCACATACCGTATGATGCGTCTCGCCAAGATGGATCGAGCGGTGTCTTCGGATTCAGAATTCGTCCATTCTGAAGCGAGATATGGCGATGCGACGCGGATTCCGACGGACTCTAATGATGTGCGACGCACTCCGCTGCACTCTAGTGGGTCCGGCGACTTTTTTGACGAATTATGAGCGGTATGTAAACTTCAGTAGAAATGGAGCCCTTTTAGCGCACATAAAAGTAAAACCATCGACGATTGTTTTTGAGAGGAAAACTAAGTAGCTTATTTTCATAATGATATAGACTGCTGTTAATCTTGCTTTTTCTGAACTTACTATTTACTGTTGATGTTTCTGATTGGTGGCATTTTTATCCAAACTCGACAGAAAATGGAGCGAATAGATTCACTGTCTCTTTTCCATGAATCAACCACGCGATCAAGGTTGAGTGCGACATCGTCGTCAACTTTCATGAGGAAATGCGCCGATGGACAGTATTGTTGAAGGAAGACCATAGACGCATAGACCTTCAAAACTGTTTCAAGCAGAAATAAGCTTAGATTGACCTACTTTGAGATGTAAATTCCTGAAACCTTCGTGCAAGTCTGTGACAATCAAATCGTCATACTCTTCTTGCTCTTTCTGCAGATTGTGTAGATCGTTTTTGGATGTAGAAGATATGATGAAGAATACCATCACGTAGTGGGTCTGAACCTTATTATAAAGTTGATTGTGTTCAATCATGTTAGTCCTACATGTTCTGTGAGTGTGTTCCGAGAGGAAATTCCACTTCTGAACCGATTTAGATCAAACTTTACGCACATCTTATTTGAAGTCGAATGCCTGCGTTTGTTCACGCTTATGTGTGTGTGTCTGTTCGTAGCCTTTACTAAAAAAAACTCATTTTTCTATTTCCAACTTTGCAGGCATATCGGGGCGTGGGCGTCATATTGCAATGTCTACTTCATTGATATTTTGCAAAGCTTAGGCCCCGGCGCAGAGGATTCGTAAGGGGCTAAGTGAGCACGCGTAATTAGAATAAAATACCAACTTTCAAAGTCATCGATTACCGATGTCTTTATGAATTTTCAGATTTTGACTTTCTTAGGGCGCTAAGAGTTGTTACAGAATGGTGAGCATGATGATTACAGATATAAATAGCGAAAGTATTTTCGTTGGAACTTCAATTTTTTACATTTGAAAATGGGGCTTTGAGTTGACACTAGAGCATGCCGTTAAAGGCAGCGTCCGTGCAAATATTGACCGGGGATTTTACGTGGAAAGTAATTTTGGGGCCCTAAGTAAGGCATGGCCCAAGCTGCAGCGCAAATGGCCCGCTAATGGCTGATATATAGCCTCGAAACTGGACCTCATGATCATATTATCGAACGACTTGCATCGTATTTGCATGCTTTCGCGCGACAACCCAAGCGAATCTGATGGGTTGCACCATGAATTCATGCGAAAAGCGATCCTGAGGTATAGTTTCGAGGGGGATATCTCAGCTGTTAGAGCACTACCTGGGCTGCCGGTTAGGCAGTGGCTTAGATAGGGCCTCAAAATTATTATCCACGTGGGATTTCCCATATGTTCAGATTTGCCTGGACTCTGCCTTCAACGGGAGTTAAAAGAAATGTGTAAGAAATACTCTTAGACCGGATTTTATCGAGTCTCGCAACGTTTTTGATAGGGTGAAGTTTGGTACGGTGAAGTTTTGGGCTAAAGTGCGCGACGTATGCGGCTTAGGCAGCGTACGCTCCTATGATGAAACATACTGAGCGTACGCTGCGTGGTCGCGTACGCCCATCGCCGCGCATTCTGGCTCAACACGAAGGAGCAGCTAGTATGTTAATTACGGATTAAGCAAACATCTGTGAATTTAGCCAGCGTTTTGATTATGCAAACCTTGAGCAAAAAAAGTAGAGCACAAGATGTCGCCAGCAGGCTCCGCCCCCTCGGACTGCTACACCACTGGAGAAGAGTGGGCATTTGTTGCGTCCACGCCGGGACTTCCGTTTCGGCACCCACTATCCTCTACCCTAAGCAAAGCCTTTAAAAGTTAGTACTGAGAGCGGGTATCTGAGCATGCTGATTACAGCGCGGCAAGGAATTGGTGCATAGAAATAGGTGAGAGACAAATATCATAGTGAACTGGTAAGCGCGTATCCTATGTAGTCTGCTAGGCAATGTTTCGCTTTGAGCATGCCACAGTATCGTTTGATGAAATTGAGTGTTAAAGGACGGGCAGTACATAAGCAGCAACAAGAGAGTCTCGGTTTGAGAATGCAAAAACATTGAAAGGATTAATTAACTGCTGATAATACACGGCAAAGAGCTGCGCAAGCACCTAAAACAATCCTGACATTCTGTGCAAGGATCATATATTGGCACAGAATGGCGTCAGAGCTGCATTGTCGTACCAAGTCTTAAAAGCAGTGTCTCGGCAGTTTGACATTTTTGAGTATTCATCGTTGACTCCCGTGAATGAGCTGAGTCTAAAACTGTGCTTTGCAGCTCTTAACAATATTAATAACTCACTTTTCTGGAAGAGGAAGCTGGCGTAAGGGACGGCAACAAGACGGCTCTTTGTAGACGATTGGCTGTTGAGCCTATGATCCACTTGCCGCCGAGGTAAATGGAGCGTCTCCAACCATCCGGACTCCACAAGCCAATCACTCTAGAAGGAGGGCTTTTGCTTTCTGCCCAAACAGTCCGGAAAAGCGAGTTATTGATATCCTCAAAAGCTGCAAAGCATAATTATAAACCTAATTTACCCAGGATAATTGCAAAGTCTTTACTTCGAAAACGGATCTGCCTAACCACTGCCTTGAAGATATTAAACTTGGAAAAGCTCAACAAATGAAGTGGGCTAGAAAAAGTTAGGTGCCGAAGTTTCCGAACATGATGTACCAGCAGCGGATATGTCAGCACCTGCATTTATTGTACACTCTAATGGTGCCGAATGCTTCTACCTCACTTTGTTGCACCATGCAGTCCGAGGACCGACGTCATCTACAGCATTTAGTAGCATTGATGAAGGTTGGTGAGACATACAGAGAAATATGCCGAATACTCGACTTGATCGAAGGTGATCAGAACTGGGATACAAATCTCGTAGAAGCAATTGCGACAAGTTTCGCTGCTCATTTGCGAAGTCGCTTTGTTATCAGCTTAACGACCTGTACCCCATAAAGGCAGTGTCCCGGCAGATTTTGCACCTCCATCTTTTTGCATGTTTTAGGCCTTTTCGCCACGTAGAATCCGAATTTGAGCTTTGAACGGGCTGAAAAGGCCGATTTTGGGGCGTTTTCTTAATTCCAAAAAAGCAGCCCGGACGAGATTTTTAAGGGAAAGTTACGGGAGGTCCTCAGACGAAGACCCTGCTGCCTGTAATTCTTGCTTTGGATAGCATGTATCATGGGGGAGAGCGCTCGTGGGGTCCCGCGCCGAACAGAAAAGGAAGGCCGTCCAAGCGCGCGCCAGTTGGGCTTGCGCGCGCAGGTTCAAGGGCCATTTTCTCTCGGCCCAGAGGGAACATCACCCAGCCGGACTGCGCCTAGAGGTCGGTGGGATGACCAGGAACCCCACCACATGTATATCCCCCAGGACCCGAATCTGCCGGGACACTGCCTATAATCCTTAAGCACTCCGGGAAAAGTACGCGGGTTTAAATGAAGACAATTCTCAGAAGTTGTCGTACAGTGGTGACACTCTTTGCAGACACAACTACTTTTCCGAGGTACAGCCGAGCATTAATAATGCTTGAGAACGCGTGCGCGTTGTGGGCGAACGAACTCTGAAATCAAACCCCGCTTGCTTTCACAACGCGGAGATGACCAAGCACTCGGGAGTGACGTTCTTAGAGATTATGTCCGTCCGATGATAATGAACAGCTGTCGAACTTTGTAAGTCTAACATCCCTCTTTTCACGAAGGATTAAAAGTTCTTATCGTGCTGTTATGGCACAAATTTTAGGAAATGCGTGGGTTACTCCGTTACTTCAGACGGAACAGGGAAAACATTCTTCTTTGAGCTTCTACGCTAAGATTTGCAGACAAGGAGGAGGCGCATCAACAGCATCATCCTCAGAGATTATTCAACACGGAGAAGAAGGCTGAACTGCTCATTTAGCCTTCCTCTTATTGGATGTAACTCATGAGTGTCCGTATGCAAATTTGCAGTGCTGCAGTTACACAGGGCATGAGGGTGCAACAAGCTAATGGGTGGACCGTCTTGCTACTAGCAGACGACTTTCGCCAAACTTTGCTGATTATTCTGCTCATTTGTTGGAAACGACCTTGCCAGTGCCATGGTCGAATCAAGATAAGCCACATATTGTCTCAAACCTTCTCATCTCTGAAGACATATTCGAACGCTGATTTTCATGACGAACATGCGCGTTCCACTTGCTGAGGCTGTCGGAAGCTTCCGCAACATCTGCTGCTTCTTGAAGAAGGCGAATTTCGACTGAACTACATTTTAGCATGATTACTTCCCCACCAGATATTTGGTGACGTGGTTTGTTCAAGTTGAGGAACTGCTAAAAGAACTCAAAAAGAGCACTGCTACAAACTTCAATAATGGAAGATACCCGCCGTCCTGTTTAGTTGCAGCATATTGATGTTCTTTTTATCTTTCCATTTCATTATCAACACTCATTTTAGTTCTGCTTGTACATGAATTTTTCTCTCATTTTTTCTCTCTAACAATAAGATCTAGGGGATGCTCTTACTTTTTGTGAGGGTTTCTACCAAATTCGTCTCTTTTGAGGAAGCTATGAGCAAATTTTAGGCTGGTGCAACATTTATCCGTACAAAGCAACGTCCCTGCATTACAAAACCGTCCATCAACTCTGAGACTACAGACTCCGCCACACTAGTTGTCCTTTTGGGATCTTTTTCATAGACCTTGATTCTCTGTATGTACGCAGCGGAGAGCAGCGTTTGAAGAGCTTGATTCCAAAGTTACGACATTTTATTCCTTTATATTGTTAATACAAAACTTAGCTCTAAAGTGTACCATCGATTTGTCGATGCACAGATCTTTCTCGGGTTTGTACATGCCCTAAACGTGTATTCAGATAGTCCAAAATACGCTACACTTGTAGAGCTTGTATGGCTAGGCAGAAGCGTTGTCTGCGAAGTGAAGATGCCTTTGGATCACTTTCAATAGTTCCTCCGTCATAAAATCTCCTGCAATTGAATGCCTGTTTCTAACCAGTTTTCGAGGCTTCAAAGAACAGTAATGTTGGTTTTCAAGTGGACATCGAAACATCTGCAAGCAAAGCCGAAAATTTTCTTAGTTTATCTGAGGTGTGAATCCAGTTATGATGCTTTTCTTTTCTTTCCCTGCTTTTCTTCACTTTCTTTTTCGTAAACGTTCGTCTGTTCAGCTATCATGACAAGGAGTTCTGCTGATGAAAACAACTCATAAACTGGGGCGACGTCGCAGTTCTTCGTTTCTGGATTAGCCCGACCATGCTTAAAGAACGTCCATCTACCATGCTTTTCGGACCCGTGAATCCAGGTTTTCTCTGCATTTTCATCATTGTCTTATCAGTGTCCAGAACAACAGCAGGAATCACGTCACCACCATCTGCACCATCGGGAGCTTCGACGCAATCAAGAAGCAAGTCATCGAAGCTTTCGCTGAGTCCATTGATATCGTTATAAGGTATGGTCATTGTCACGAGATTACTCACAATGACT